AGGATCCCGAAAAGAAGAAATAAACGTTACTTTGTAAGGAACTGTCAAAAAAATAAATGTCTAAAAAAAAAAGTTTTCAGAGTAATTTCTTGGAAAAATCTGTAGTTTTTTCCCCCCTGCTTTGTAGAGGATGTGTGTGTATATAGTTTGCTTTTCAGTCTCAAAAGTGAATTTTTATTTAGTTTAGAAGTTCCTCTTCCTGCAGACACTTTCATAAGGCTCAGGTTGATGATAAAAGGTGCAGGTAACAATGCAGAAAAACCAATGCTTTTTGTTCTTTCTGGTTGAGTAAGTCATTGGTTTGATTCCCATTCAACCAGCACTGGAAAAATGTACAAATTTAATGTGTCGAAAGTGTCTTACAAATACATAACCTTTTATAAATGAGTGAGACTACTACTTTTAATATTTACCAGAAGATGGCAGTGTTTACCTTTATTGATTTTGGAAGTTTTTTTTAAAGGCGTGGTTTAGCAATAACTTAATTTTTTCAAAGCTAACTACAGTGGTTTTTTTTAAAGCTGGATCTGTGTCAGGACAGCATTTCAATAATTTTCCCAGGCCTGTGCTAGTGAGACTTGTTAAAGGGATAGTCCACCCAAAAAAATTATAATTCTAATAATTTAAGAATCCTAATCATTTACAAACTCGATTGAATCATTTAGTTCCAAACCTGCATGTTTCTATATAGCTTTTTTGAAATGAGGATGAGTAAATCAGTTTTCATGATGGGATGAACTATCCGTTTAATGTTTTGTCATAGCTGCTGAACTTGCATATTGTGTTTGTAACCTGAGGTGGAAGCTTGAATAATGTCTGTCAGCACACTTAAGTATGGAATTTGTCTTCATGATGGAAATACTCATACAAATCAGCAGTTTCAGTGTTAATGAATGCCAACATTGTCCTATAGATGATGTTGCAATGTCCAGTTTTGGTGTATGAATGGGCTGTGGGTGTATTATGCAAACATTGCATTCCCACATCATCATATGTGGTGTGTGAGTCCGAGCATTCATATCTTTCCTCATTTCTGCCAGGACTGCGTTTTGGTGCTATATTTGCTTGTATTGTGTATCCTCTGATTTATAAACCTTCTCTGAGGCTTTTGCACGCAGATGGTTTAGAGACTGGTTTAGTGTGGAAACAATCATGGATGATTTTGAGTAATGGGACATTTTCCAGTGCTGCTGAACCGAGTGTCACTGAAGCTGAAGTGGCCCAAATCAATTATAAGTGAAGTAAAGGGGCCGTTATAATTGGGGCTGTCCACAATCAATGAACCATTGGGATTTTCCCATGAAAACCTACACATGGATCAATAAACCAAAAATATCTTGACCCAGGGGAGATGAGTGGGGAGATAAGCACGTATGAGGTTACATAAGATGTTGAGAATGTGTCCTAGTTACCCTTGACCAGTGGATTCAGTGGTAGAAATAGTCCATTTAGACTGCTCGTTAAAATACTGGAAAATGGTTACCATTTGGTTTATCTACAATAAATATTAAATTGCACTCTTAAACAAAATCGTTCTAAACAGTAACAGATTTGGGCTCTTTTTGTAGCTAAATAGAACCCTTTTCATAAGGGTCCATATATAAATAATAATAAAAAACGCTTCTATACTGCTATATAGGACCTTAATGCTTTTTATCTATTTTACAGTGATGATGACATTGAACATGAATAAATGCATAACGAAAAAAATGTATTGAAGCCCAAGTTCCAGTGAAATATCTTCACTATCCTCTATGATGTCTTTACGTCCATCATTATGTGAGTATTTTAGTGTAACAGTGTCTGGGTAGCGATGCACAAGTGAGTTTAGAGTCACAGTGCGTCTCTTCAATTTATTTAAGTAATAGCTATTATGTTTAAGGCCATAAGTAGCCATTGTGGATGCACAGTATGTGAGACTTTCTCTATGTAAACAAAGAAAAGGTGTTAAGTCATGGGAAATCTTTAAAGGTTTTGTGACTGGTCATGGTTATGCATAAACCCAAGTAATAGTTTAGAACTCTAAATATATGAATCATAAATTCAATATCTCTGTCACTTGCTTAGTGGCGTAGAGGATAGAAGTATCCTGAACCCAGCAGAGGTTACATGTTACAGAGCCACTTACATGTTCTGTTAAATAACAAAAAAAATATATATATACATTATTGGTAGAAACCCATTTACATGAAAGAAAAAGAGGATAGAAGTATCCTGAACCCAGCAGAGGTTACATGTTACAGAGCCACTTACATGTTCTGTTAAATAACAAAAAATATATATATATACATTATTGGTAGAAACCCATTTACATGAAAGAAACAACCCAAATTGATTGATTATCTAAAATGATCACTTTGTAAGAAAATTTAAGTTGTTAAACATTTGAACTACATCACTCACACTCTAAAAATGCTGGGTTAAATACAACCCAGTGCTGGGTAAAATAGGGATAAACCCAGCAATTGGGTTGTTTTGCCCCAGCGGTTGGGTTACTACCCAGAAGGTTGGGTTAAACATTTAACCCAACCGCTGGGTCTAAACAGCCCAATTGCTGGGTTTGTCCCTATTTTACCCAGCACTGGGTTGTATTTAACCCAGCATTTTTTTAGAGTGCACCAATAGATCCTCAGCAGTGAATGGGTGCCGTCAGAATCCAAACAGCTGATAAAAACATCACAATAATCCATTGTGTGGATTACTTGTGATGGTTTTATCAGCTGTTTGCACTCTCATTCTGACGGCACCCATTCACTGCAGAGGATTAATTGGTGAGCAAGTGATGACATGCTAAATGTATCCAAATCTGATGAAGAAACAAACTCATCTACATCTTGAATGACCTGAGAGCGTGTACATTTGCAGCAAATTTTCATTTTTGGACGAACAATTCCTTAGAGCAAATGCGTTTCCTCTCCCCGATTGATTGATATCCTGTACTGTCAGCGCTTCTCATCAGGATTCTTGATGGAGTGGCTCTAGATGTTCTTTTAGAAAGGCAGCCAGAATTAGCAGAGCCTGTTTAAGATGATCAGCACAGAAGCCACAATGTCTTATTTTGCAGAAACCAAATAGCACTTTATCTCTGATTAAGCCATTTCCATTCTCTCTCACTCTTCACTTCCTGACCAATATAACAGTGTCCTTTCTTAAAAAAAAAAGAGCGAGAGAGAAATTGTGGGTGGGATGAAAAAGGTTCTGCGAGCACAATAATGGCATTTGTTGCATACATAGGTGTTTTACCTATGGGTATGGCTTCAGACAGCTATAGGCCATATAATTGCTCTTCTTAATTGATTTACAAGTTATATTCTGTCAACATGCATCCATGCTGCTCACTACACAAATGACAGGAAACTCCCTCCAATTAAATGAAAATGCCATTTCTGGTTAATCTCAAAATCTTGTCTGGACATGTGAAGACCAGTTTCACGACCTTTGTGCTTTTCTGAAAAGCCCCAAAATAAAACCCTAGTCCGATTTTGGAAGATGGATTTAGGTATTAGTAATATTATGTAAGAATAGTCTAACAATGCTAGTTTCACCACTGTCACCATTACACCACTATGCCATTATGCTATCAGAGAAAAAATGCATCAGCCAATAACATAAAAGCATTTCAGTAACTCTAGATCCTTCAACATCTCGCTCATGCAGCCAGGCTACTCCATTCCCACACTACTGACATTATACTCTGAGATCCTGACTACAAAGTTTTTCTTTTTATTTGTACAGGTTTTGTGTTTCTTTTTGGAACTGATTGGTCGTAGACCTCAATGGTCCAAGCTTTATGCACCTCAGATCCATAAAATATTAACAATGCATTATTTCAGTCAGGTCCACTTTGTTAAACTATGCTTAGTACAATTATAGCATACAGTTAGTGTTGGCAGTATGGTTCTGTTCTGGGCAAAACTCCCCACGCCTGTCCATGCAGCCATGCAAGTCAAACCCCCCTGGGGTACAGAACAGATCCAGTATATGCATACATAATTACATGAGCTGTAGAAAACACAAAATATATGATAGAGAATGCTTGCAATATAGTGAACTGTATATACGAAGAAAAGAAAAATCAGATTAGATTACCGGTGGAGTTGGGGTTGGAGGAGGGAGTTGATTTGCGAGCGGCGATGCGATAGAAGAGATGCTGGAGAATGGAATTTAAATGGACCGCTGTGATAAGTGTCAAAACTGGATCGGTACACGCCAGGAACAGCTGATGCGAGCTTGACTGACGAGGCCTGCCTGAACTAATTGCAATGCTTGATTTGTGGATCATTTTGTCCGAGTTCACTCAAAAAACTGAGGTGCAAAGGCTCAGATGAGTGCATGATCAGTCAGTAAAAAGAAGTACAAAACTTGTGCTGAATGTAAGCTGATGAAATGATTCCAATATTTGATAAAAATATAGCACAACAAGAAGTGCATGAGTTAATATGTATTCCATTAGATTATCCTTTTAGGAAGTGCATGGAACTGGAAGAATAAGTAAAAGTCTCATCTTAAATGTCAACACTCTGTGTTTGTGCATGGTATAGTTATAGTTTAGTTTAAAACCATGGTTTTGTGTGCATGTCCTTGAGGCTAGTAATGTCTATAGCCTAATATAACAATCAAACGCTGTTACCACCAACCCTATTATTCAGGATATTTTAATATCACATCCCTAAGTTTATAAAAGCAATTCAAAAACTCAAACTCTCAAAGTGGCACATGAAATTTATGAACATTTTACAGAATTTTTTTTTTTTTTCAAAAAAAGAAAAATTAATAATAATAAAAAAAAATGGAACCCTTATAGGCTGTAAATGATTTTGCACATCCATTCAAGCTTAGGATGCCGAAACTGACGTCAGAGAAAGACTTTTCCCAGCTGAGACTGTTAAATTCACTCCAATGTAGCTCTTCAAGGTAACATGACAGCCGAACTAGCGCGCGGTGGGCATGTGTCAGCCGCTCCACACACACACACACACACACACACACACTGAGAGAAGAGCAGCAGCAACAGCAGGTGAGAACACAGCTCTCTTATTTACACTCACTAGATTATGTTTGCTGTTAGTCATCAAGGAATGTGTATGATTATTATTGTTTTATTATTATTAATTATTATTACTATTAGCCTATATACTGCTTTGCATATGCGGGTGTTGTTAGTGATAATTAGGCTGTTTATCTAACTTACCAGTGCTTGCAAATCTTTGCGGAAAGGCAAAGGATGCAATTTAAAAAAAAATTACATTCAGTTATAGTTACATGCATACGAGTTTGATAAGTAATAGAGGATATAAAGTGAATGTGGGTTAACTGTCGAACAAACGTTGCGTTGCAGATGCGAGAGAGCTGAAGTTTACCGGGCTAAAGTGTAATCTATTAACAGTCACTTCGTAGTACTTTATTATTGTCATTTTATGCACTCCATTGACACTGAATTCTTTGCGTTAAACGGTGTATTCGTGTTGCATACCAAAACTAGTAGATTCATGTAGTAGCCTACAAGCGCCAGTTACATGATCAAGCGTTTAATCATTTCATTAGTGATAGCCTGTGATACTTAACTTAAGTATTTGAATCAAACAATAGTTCAGACGCAAGGAACAGCAGTGCAAGAAAGCTCACTAACCGTGCTGTAATTGCTTGTTGTTGTAGTAAGTGGATATAGAGTAGATGCGAGGAGCTGTCCATGATCTGCGGTGCTGAACCTCGCGCGCTCTGCTGGCTGATAGATTTACGCGTCGCGTTTGCTGATGTGATCGTTTAAAGGGTGAATGTCGAATGCATAATAAAGCACATTATAACATTATGATTACGATATATGACCGCAGGGTACGAATTACAGGGGGTGGGTTGGCTTGAGCACTGTAAAGGAAGTCAAAACACAAGGTTGGAGGGGTCTACAATTGCATAGTTTTATTTAGTCGTGTTTCAAAGTTTGATGACAAGATATAATAATAATGATAAGATATTGAATAAAAAACAAACAACAAATCAATAAAAACTTACGTGACTTAAGACGATTCAAAAGACGCAAAACGTAGCCTACGCACGTTTACATAAAAAACATAAAAACAATGGAAAAGCAGCGCAGTAGAATGTAAAAACGCGTTATGGGTGAACGGCCCCTCAACTGTTCAGTGTCATAATCACATAACATCGACTTACGTGACTTAAGACGATTCAAAAGACGCAAAACGTAGCCTACGCACGTTTACATAAAAAAACATAAAAATAATGGAAAAGCAGCGCAGTAGAATGTAAAAACGCGTTATGGGTGAACGGCCCCTCAACTGTTCAGTGTCATAATCACATAACATCGATACAATTTCCACTTGATTACAGAAATATCACAAAATGTTTGTGTTTTCTTTTAAAGAGTGTAAAGAAAAGCGTAAGTGTAAAAAAAGTTAAAGAAAGACATTCTGACTGCCAGGTTAAAGGGTTAACCTCACAATGAAAATCAAGATTATGGGTTAAAACATTGCCATTGTCAGTAGTGTAGCCATATGTGAAGCATATCTCACATAAAAGTCACTTTCAAACCAAGCAGCTTTCTGTTGGTCATAAATACACTTTTTAAATCTGCGTAAGAAAATCCTTCACCTGCACACAGACTTCCTGATCACAATGTGTATGTCCCACACGTGGATCCTTGTAAAACATTCATGTTATTAACTCATGCAGTTTATATATTCACTTATAAACCTTCTTGTATATCTGTATGTAAGCTGTGTTTTCAATGTGGTGAACCATTCACTGGATGTTAAAAGTACATTTAGAATGTACATCCTGACATTTCTTACCCCCACATGCTTATTTCTTGCTTAGGAGTCTGTTGTGGAAGAGGCTGTCAACTGAAGATCTCGTCTGGGATTTTGCTGTTGTAATATTAATGGACATCTCTGATTTACAACACCCCATTTGATCCCTTTAAATCTGAACCACTCCCAGCAGCCCATTCTCCTCTGAAGCGAATCAGGCATAGAGATGTCTCTCTGTAAAGAACTTTAAGTCGAACTGACAGATATGTTTTAAGACATCCCACATCCTTTGCCTTACGAAGAAACAACACAAGGTAACATTAAAAAATCGACTCCCTGCATGGGAGAGTCCTGCTTCAATCAAACTGAGGCTTTTAAAGAACAGCCTATTGACACTGCTGTCTCCCATCTCCGGCTGACCCTCCGCACTCAACTTTCTGTCAGGATGAGTGACTCACAGGAAGCGACGTCCCCAGTGGCAGGCATAGGAGGCCCTGTTGCTTGCGTATCCAAGGTGGAGCTGCGTGTTTCCTGCAAGTCCCTGCTGGACCGAGATACGCTCAATAAGTCTGATCCCTGCGTCATGCTCATGGTACAGAACCAAGGTCAATGGACTGAAGTGAGTTTTCCTTTTTCTCTCTTGGGGCCTTGATTAGATCTTTGTATTGGCAATGCTGTCCTTTTCTGCACTAGATTTATTTTACAGTATTAGTTGTGTTACAATGCAATCCAGTTATAAATTCTGTCATCGTTTACTCACCCTCATATCATTCCGAACCTGTATGACATTCTTTCTTCTGTAGAAGAAAGACTATGGCTCTCAGTAGTGGTTTTAACCACCATTTGCAAGCCATGTTTGAAGGGCCCTCTACTAACCATAAGCAGGTTACTAGGCTGATGTTTTTTGTTATATTCATTTGCCCTCACTTACCATTTATGGACTAATCGGGCTTAAATCGTGGCCTAATGGTTAGAGAGTCGGACTTATAACCCAAAGGTTGTAAAAAACGTAAAAATGTCAAAAAAAAAAATTTTTCTCAGAAATGTGAGACAAAGGTTGGAATTGTGAGATATAAACTCAACTAAAAAAATAAAAAATAATAATTCGGAATTATCTTTTCTATAAATTAAATGTGCACTAATTTGCAAATGACAAATTACTGGCCAATTAATTGGCCTGCCAATAGGGTCTGAAATGAACAGGTCCTTGTTGTAAAAATGACCCAAAAATAAAAATATGGGCAAAAAATGCCCCATGTATGGGTCTTTGTCTTGTATTGCTATTGTTTGATATAATTAAGCAATATCACACAAGCAAGTGCTGTTTTCCTCAAATATAAGCAAGAATACAAATGTGTTACTGATATTAATATTAAGTTACTTTTTAGGCACAATATTGTAACTATTACTGATTTTGCTCTATTTTGGCATTGAAAATGGTTCCAAACAAAGCCACAGCAACAAACAGTAGTACTTCATTGCTTTTGAATGGCGTTTTTGAATGAAGCGGCTGAGTGAATGATTCAATCATCCATTCAGTGGAAAAGTTCATTTCTGTCACTGCTGGCCAATATATCAATATATCACTAATTATACATAAGTGCATTTGAATTTTAGTTTTAAATTATACATTTGCAGTGCTAGAGGATTAGCTGATGACAGTGATTAGAAGTTAAACAGGTCTAACAAGTGCTAGGCCTAGGCTTTGGGTTAGAGATTGTTGGATGGGTATAATTTCGCACAATGCCTTCAGTTGACATTCTGATAGTATAGAGCTTGACTGTGAAGGTTGCCTGGGCTGTGAGTTGGGGGAGTGGGCACTTTTTGGAATGAATCTAGGCAGGGAATTGTCACACAGCAGGAAAGGGCGCTTGAAGCAAAGAGAGCGACCACTCTGGTGTTTTTTTCCCCCATATCAAAGCAGTCACTGTAAGAAAAAAATGATCTAGAGCCACAGCAGTGGTGCTGAAGACAGCTCTGCAAAGCTGTGAAGCTGTCTGCAGCAATGTGTCAGGCTGAAGGATGAAATCTTAATCCTGGCCTCATTATTCCAACAACTGTGCCATGTTCAACAGTTAGACTGGGTTGGCATATTCAGATGTATTCATTGTAACTATTAGTAACTAATTCTGACCAGGGTCAGAAATGAACATTTCCATTAAGGGGCAATATTGATTAAGGGGCAGTATTGATTTCCAGGGGCATTTTTTACATGCATAAGGGCAGTTTTTAAAAATACCTTATTAATTGTATCGGTGTTGTCCTTAATGTCAAATATTTAAATTTAACCAGTGACGTCGATCAATCAGAATACTTTAAACTGTTAACAATAACAACAAATTGTTTAAAATTGTATATAAATTATATTTGTAAAAAACAGGAACTTTACAGTGTAGGGGTGCAATATTATGACAAAAAACATTAATGTCTTGCGCGCCAAACTATTGTCACAAAATGTAGCAATTAAAAGAATAGTTCACCCAAAAATGAAAATTTGATGAAAATGTACTCACC